ATTGACCAGTGCCCCCTCCCCAGAGGATGCTGCAGTTGCTATCTCTGCAGCCATGAACACCATTTTTTCCCTGGATTTTCCCTCCTCTGATTGGGGCTGTTGTGGCTTCCACAGCTCCAAGCTAAGCATGGGATGCAAGGGCCCCTGGGGGTGGCTGGTGGGTGGGCAGACACAGGGGTGGCTGGGGGAATCCTGGCTGAGTCCACCTAGGGCTGGAGCACAGGGCCCTCTTTCCACTTAGCCCATACCCCTCCCTTCTGCAGTGCTGGGCTGCGCTGGCCGCATGGGCAACCTGATCTGTGCACAAATCAAAAAATTTTCCCTTCCACAATAAATAATCTCCCAGACTGAAATATGCTTTAGCTATTTCTTTTTTGTCCCCGTTCCTGACTGGATTGAGCAGAGCTAGAGGGTTTAAGTTCTGTCAGGGGCCTGTTCTTCCACCATCTTTTTTCTGCTCAGGACTGAATTTTAAAATAGTGCTCCAAGCCAAATCTTCTGTGGTCATCTCAACAGGTGCAGGACTATCAAGACACTCCAGGTCCACAGAAAAGTATGGGAATCCATAATAGAATAAGGATTTATACATACATCTGTTGTTCTTGAGAACCTACTTGCCTATTTGCTCTTCAGAGATATTTTCTAGGTATAGGTCACTTTTCTCAGCTCTAAGAAAGATAACCCTGCAAATTTTGGGGATCTATTGTACTTTAAATTAAAATTTTATTCTCTTGGATATCTGTTTGAACCTATTTTATGGAACCTGGTTATTTCCTATGTTGGGCATTTGTGGTTTTTATCACTTTCCCTAGCTCTTCTATCTTTTATGTGAATTTTTTTTTTTTTTGGTACTGGGAATCAAACTCAGGACCTTGTGCCTGTCAGGCTGGCATTTGTGCCACTGAGCTATATCCCCAACCCCTCCTCTATTTTTAAAAAATCTGCTTCTAAGTTGCTTATGGTGGCTAGCTTTATTACTCTTTAGGAAATGACTACTTTTCAGAGATGCCTTCTAGGCTTACATGGGTTTGACTTTTGAGTCTGTCCCAAGATCCTCCCTCTTCCATTTATTAAGGATGAGATGTTGCTGCCTGTTTGGCCTAGAACCCAGTTCTTTGGCACTGGGCTATTATTGTCTATGACCCCCAGACAGTTGTGGTATTGGCCTTCAAGGAAAAACAACTGTTCACAGCAACTATGTCACCCTGGCTAATGTAGTACAGTCAGCAATAATAGCATCAGGCATAGTCTAGAAAATGACACTGTGATGACTAATAATTTGCCACCTTTAACCACTGCTACAAGATTTATACTTACATCACAAAATCTCAAACAAACCAGAAAATGTTATATAGTAAATGTCCACTCAGTAGAGTGATTTTACCCTCAGGGGAGAAAATTTTTTTTATGATGTCATTTTAAATTTTAATAAAATAGATAATTTTGTATTACATAGAGAGTAAGTCCATCCATGCACTGTTGATAAAATTTTTAGAAATAATTTCTATAAAAAGTTGGGTATTTATGCCAGGGATATAGCTCAGCATCATAAGCACCTGCCTGGCAAGTGCAAGGTCCTGAGTTCGATTCCTGGTACCAAAAAAAAAAAAAAAAAAAAAAAAGAGAGAGAAAAATAGAGTTTACACCCAAAAAGTTGGGTATTTGATTGGGAAGAAATTCATTATAATGTTACTTCTACAGGTACAGAATTTTATCACCCTATTCTTTTAATTTTGTGAAATTTTAAAAATATACAAAAGTACCAAAAATAAGACAAGATATCCATATACCACAATGCAGAATTAGTGAGTACCTTCACATATTTACTTGCAGAGAAATGGATACTTATATAAACAGGTGAAGCCCCTCCCCTCCTCCCCTCCCACACTCACTCCCATCCTTTCTCCACTCTTCACAGGCCACCCTCAAGAGTTTGGTCTGTATTCTTCCAACTGATTTCAAAAACATTTACATATGTATGTGTACCCATTAGCAATATAAAGTGTTGAACTTCATCAAGGAAATGTTTACAATTCAAATTTACAAAGTCATTGTACTATATGCATCATTCTCCAACTTTTTTCCTCAACACTTTTTTAGGTACTTCCACGAACATGTGGCTCTCACCTGTTGCACTTTTATAGATGTATGTGTATTATTACATCCTAAGAACTTTCCATTTTATTCTAGGTGGATATTTGAATTGTTTCCAATATCTGGCTACTACAAATTGAGCCACAGAGAAATTCCTGGTATTTCCTGAGCATACACGTAGTAAAACTATTTATGTATTTTTCAATTTGTTACAAGGAATGCTTTCCTACTCCCAAGGTCATAAACATTTTTAGTATACTGGCTTTTTATAACTGTCTTCAATTACTGTAAGTTTTATTTTTCTGTGTAATCCATGGCTCAGGGGAGAAAATTTAAAAAGGCTAAGAGGGAAAAATAAATAAAAGAAGAAAAAGAGATGAGAAGCAGGGCTGAAGGACAAAAGATTACCAAGCTTTGTAAAACTGGTGAAGAAGACAGGAAGGAAAGCAAGAAGAATCCCCAAACAATAGCAAAACAAAACAAAAAACTTCACTAAAGACAATATTCATACTCATGGAAAACATGAATTTTCCACTCTTCAGGAGCCAAAGGTCAGGACCTTGATTTTTATTTCTTAGTATGTTTGTGATACATAATTAATACATATATTGTGAGGAGGTGGTATGTACACATATTGCATCTTAACCCTTTTTACTTTCCCTTCCCTCTTTTCCCTCTCCCTCCCTGTATCTCCTTCCCATTGCCAAAAGTTCTCCCTCCCTGAAGGGCTGCAGGCTGGACACTCAGACTGGTAGGACCTAGAACGGGGATTGTTAATCAGGGAAAAATTCTCAACATAGAATGTCATCCTATGTTTAGAATGAGAAGTGCAACCAGGTGTGGTGGTGTGTGCCTGTAATCCCAGCACTCAGGAGGCTGAGGCAGGAGGATCATTGCGAGTTGAGACCAGCCAGGGCTTCAAAGTGAGCTCAAGGCCAGCCTGAACTGCATAGCAAGACCCTGTCTCAAAAAGAAAATAAAGTGAAGTGTGCAAATGGATTAAAGGGAGAAGAATTTAAACAGAAAGTATTCTTTGTTTATTAACTGTACATCAGCAACAGCAAAAAAAAGTGCAAGAGACCATGCAAAGACAAACGACATGGTCAGTTTGGACAACATAGCAGTTCAAATAGGGAATTTCCAACTCAATCACTCATATAGAAGTTGAACACACCATTCCTTTTCATAGTTTTTTCTTTCAGTTCTTTTGATTGCCTTCCAGAAATGGCTTGCAGTGCTTCCTGCCTCTGTATAAGTTGTGATTTGATAAGTGGGGTGGTAAAAGGAAAAGCATTTCTAAGAGTTGGGGAGACATCTCAGGAGATGAGTGACAGTGCTCTTGAAGGAAAGGTAGTGGAGAAGCATCATGACAGAGACGAGGCAAGCACTGCTCACTGCAGAATGGGAAGAAGATGCGTTGAAGGTACTGGCCATTTGGGTCCTGAGTTCTTTCTGAATCAGACCTTGGACTGGCTGCTTTTTGGGAACATGGTAGGAAGTGGGGATGGGCTTTGTTCTCAACAGAGGAAGCAAGGTTTGACGTTATAGGACTACTTTGAGTCGTTAAACTTAAAGTTCCCTCTCCTCCCAGAGGAGAATTTCAGAAAACTTCTTTAAGTTGTCAGGGACCTAAGCCATTACCTTAAATAAGAATATATGAATCGTGTAGAGAACCTAGAATGAGGGCAACACTTAACACACAGGAGAGGACCTTTACTGAAGAAATATCCATAATGTGTACACTGGAGTGATACTTCTGAATGGAGCATGAGGCTCCAACCTTGACCAGAGGGATTATCCCTATCTTCCAGAATCTTCTAGTTGAAGTTCCAATTATCTTTTGTGAGTGAAGTCCTAGTCTAGTTAAAAGAGATCATGTTTTAATAATGGATATATACAAAACACAAGAAATACAGATTAACAAATAACAATGAGCATGGTCTTTCTGCAATATGCAAGGTACCATAGAGCAATGAGACAGTAAAAAAATAAACTAACAGTCCACAGATTGTGTGTCCTAAGCAGGGTTTCCTCCTGAAGTAGTCAAAGAGAGTATCCTATGACCATGAGTATCCTTCTCATGAAGCTGTCCAACGTTGGAAACTTGTTTTGGAAGCTACTTTCAGAATCTAGTATATACCTTCTGAGGCTTTGTTGTTGACTTTACTTTTGATATTTAACAAGCTTTATCTGGATAGGAGATGCAGGTAAATAAGCTGGGAAATCATTAAGTACATTTTAACATGGATAAGAGGTATGGTTCAAAAGAAATGAGGCTAACTGTGACCTGGAATTCCAAAAAAGAAGTTCCCAGAGAGGAAGGACAGAGATTACTGAGACGGAGCTGGAAGACAGTGGAAGGTTAGGGTGACACGGCAAGTGAGCTCATCAAGAAAGGCACTCACAAGAAAACCGAAAAGGCAGGAACAAATTAAGCTTCACTGGAGCCGGCTGATGGACAGTCTCTAATCAGGAGCCAGAGAAGATGTCCGCCCTGATCTGGGTCTCACCTTCAGTTCAAGTACATTTTAGGTTTTTATAGTAACCGTTACCTCATTTTTGGGAATCTTACAAGAATGTCACACAATTATCACAAAGTTTACTTCTCCCAGAAGGTCCACAACCGAATTCCAAATGACGGTTGCAGGTTAACTTTTAGCCCACTTCCCAGTTTGTCCTGTTTGTTCTGTTCCCTTTTTATGACTCTGCTCTGAGTTGATAACTAGCCAAGGTGACTGGGGTGAACTACAGCTTAAGTGAACTTTAAGTGATTTCTCTTAGTATGGAGTTAAAAACAGAAAAATGGAATGTCTCTTGCCCTATCAAGGGAAGCAGAGAGTATAAAGGGAAGCAAACATTCTAAGCAAATGTCTCTTGGTTTTCTTTATTCTAAGGAAGTGTCATTAATGACCTTTGAAGCCAGCCTTGATGACAGAGTGAAGATCAGTGAGCACACTGGGTCTAGGACCAAGGGTCCTTTGCGTGACCAGGGCCTTTGGTGGGGCTCCAAGACCCTAAAGCCACAGCGAAGAGTATCATTTCACAGCACCGACAGAGATGACCATCCAGCTCACCCTGAAGGTGGTGAAGTCCAGTGATGAGGAGCTGACCTTGTTTCTGGTGGAATTAAGTAACCAGTGGCAGAGGCACTTGCTCCAGGTATGGAGGTCCAGCTCAGTGATTCAGGTGAGAAAGATGATGGAAGTGTTGACAGCCATAACCCCAGAGGCCCAGATTGTGACTTGCAATGGAAAGAGACTGGAAAATGGGAAGAGCATGATACTCTATGGCATCAGAAAGGGCAGTCTCCCTTTTTTGGTGCACTATTCCATAGGGAGTTGACTACTCTGAGGATGGGGTTTTATCAGTTTTTTTTTTTTTTTCTTTTTGAGACAGAGTTTCACTATATAGTTCAGGATGGCCTTGAGCTCACTTCATAGTCCAAGCTGGCCTTGAACTAGAAGTGATCCTCCTGTGTCAGCCTCCCAAGTCCTGGGATTGCAGGGGTGCACCACCATGCCTGGCAAAGGATGGGGTTATATCAGAAGCACAGAGCTTATTTCCTTTCGGCTCTGATTCATCACCATTTCAAAATTAATGAGAATAAAAAGAACAGTCAGATGTGGAGTGGAGTGGATAGGGTGAAGTGTATTTTTTAATTCTGTAATTCTTTAATTCTAACAGTTACCTGATGGTAACTGTATTATTTATGGCTGTATTATTTATTTTACTGAGAATAGAAAATAAAATTTGGGGAGTGGTGCATGCATCCAGGCCTGGTCCACTGGTCCACCATGTCGAAGGTTTCCTTTAAGACCACGCTGACATCAGACCCACAGCTTCCGTACAAAGCACTCAGTGTTTCTGAAAGTACACCTTTCACAGCAGTTGTGAAGTTTGCAGCAGAAGAATTTAAGGCTCCTGCAGCAACAAGTGCAATTATTACCAATGATAGAATAGGAATAAATCCTGCACAGACTCCTGGAAATATTTTTCTAAACATTTCAGAGCTGTGAATTAGCCCTAGAGATCGTGTTGGAAGTTGCTAATATCTGCTGGGAACATACAGTTACCTTTCAGAATAAAAATTGCTATTTTTATTTTGGCTGTAAAAGTGAGATGAGGCACTTAACATACAATAAAACACAAGAGTCAATGAAACAATGAAAGGTGGCTCTTCTGTCCCTTCTTGTTCATATTCTTTACATGAAGAGAAAGTGGTTATGAATGGACAGTGCCACCACTATAGAAAGTCATACAGTGGTTGCCTGCTGCTTCACAAGTAGCGAATTCATTTGTGGCCAATAGATTGTGCAACTCTTTTTTACCTAGAAAATAATTCTGATAATTTTTTGTAAGTAATTTTGGAAAATTAAAATTTCCTAAGTGTTACATAATTGTCTTTGAGTTAAAAATGTAGAAAGATTGATTATGGATCATAGATGGCAGTTTGCTTGATAGCATCTTATAGACTCATACATAGATTCTTAAATACACATTTCATGATAAATATAATAGACATATCAGTGAATATTTAACTGTCTTTATCATTTATAGTTTGTTTTCAAACTTAATGAAATTAAGTTTATGAAATCAAATTTTAATTAAATATCAAAGAACCAGAAATTTAATTTCTTGATCTAACCATTATGTGCATAAACTAATGTCACATGCCAAAGTCCTTAAGAGTGTTGTAGAATGTATTATTCATTATGGTGGAATCTGATGATATGCAGAAGCATCTTTTGCTGAGCTATGCATTTCTTTAGAGTTAATGTGTCTATCAGCTTCTAAATCAACTTTTTTCATGAAAAAAACCCTCAAGAAATGACTCTTTTTGAAGATATTATTTTGAGTAGCATTCTGAAAGAATATTGTTACAGAAGTTCACCAGAAACTTGAAGAAATACTGATCAGGGCCAGGAACATAGCTCAGTGGCACAATGCCTGCCTAGCAAGCATGAGGTAGTGAGTTCAATTCCTGGCACCGAAAAAAAAAAAAAAAAAGAAATACTGATCAGAAATCCTGAAGAGTTACATTTATTGAAGACCTAACTTTTGAGGAAGCGCTAACATTAATCACCCACGTGTGTAACAAGCAGAGATTGGGAAAGCCCAGATGACCAGGCCGTGGCAAAGAGGAATGAGTGGCAAGGACAACAGTAATGAGTGACAGGAAGCTGTCACACAGTGTCACAGAGGATGCCAACAGGTGCACAGGACTGCAGACAGTATGTTAGAAAACCTGAAATGGAAAACAAAATACTTGACATAATCTTAGACAGCAAAGTGTATTTCTTGTCCACAGACTTAAAAGTACCCATTATGAGCATTCAAAAAATGTATCCATAACAAAACATTTTATTTGTGTTTACAGAGGAAATCAGTGCCTGCACACAGTTTGAAAGGTGAAATGAAGAGTCATAGTGGTTCAGAATCAGTGCTGGACCTACTGTATTACAAATGACTCATCCTCTAGAGCAGGGGTTTTGTCTGTCTAGTTCTTTTTAGCACTGGAAATGTAGACGTCAATAAGTAATTCCCAGTTTATTCATGACTAAAGTCTCTCTAAGACCAATATTTACCTTAGCATGTTTCATTGTCTTCACAGTTACGGGCCCCAGGTTCACTGAAGAAAAAACTATCATGAAATGCAACCAAATCAGCATCTGAAAGGTGACATCAGTACTTTAAGAAATTAACATATTTTTCACAAGTCTGATGAGAAAATAGTGAGATTTTCAGTTATCAAATGGAAGAAGCTTTGCTAAAGAATAAATATACTTTGTTTGGAATGTTTTCATTAAAAAAAAGCAGACCTGACTCTCAAAGGCCACTATTCAGCCTCAGTCGACCAGCTGTTTTCTAAATTCCCAATCCTTGAACTTTTTTGGCTTAGTTTAATTTTTTTTCTATTCTTCTAGCACAAATACCTACTTCTGTTTGCATAGTTAAGTTTATGGTGTCTTGTGCCATAAGTGATTTATTTAATACTTTGGTTCTTTACTTTTGAAAAGTATACTGTAGTTCTTAATGTATTTTGTTGAACACTACATTTTATTATTAAATAAATGTGGTCTATAAATTCTCTATGCAGAATGTTTTGAAGTACTGTAATTTAAATGTATTACTGGCCCATAATTATTTATGAAAATACATTTTGTTACATTGTAAAAAAAAAAGAAAATTCCTCTTACAGACAGCATTCAAAGCTGGCATGACATTTAATCTTTTATACCTTCTGACAGAAAAGCTCCAATTTCCTTTCCCACAGGATAAGATAGTAAGTTTTAGGTTGGGATTCATATTTTACTAATTTTTGAGTTTCTATATTAAGATCAGTACTTCATGTATAATGTCACTCAATAATTGTTGGATAAAATTGAATTTCTACTTATAGAGAATAGTGAAATGATTTATTATGAAATGAATTCTTAGCTCCAATATGACCACATTCTAATAAAGAACTAATTTAGAATTTCATTGAAACTACTTCCCCTCTCCCTAATGCTGCTTGGAAAAAAAAGCTGCTTGGTATGAAATTAAGTCTGCCACTTATCCACTATGTCCCACACCCAATTAAAATTATTCTTATTTGGGGGGTGGGCATGGAAGGTATTTTCCATGGGCATCTAGAGATTTTGTGTCTCCAGTGGGAGCTTTTGGGAATACGCGTGCTTCAGGAGGAAACAAACTTTCTGAAAGTGGTGCACTATGGACCAGTCTCTGCCTGGCTGTCTTAGAGTCCAGCAGGTCTTTTCCAGTTCACACCACTTGGGCGAGGCGGGCAAGGGGTTGGCTTGTGGGTTGACTCCAAACTTCTGTTCAGGTTCCGGGTGATGAAACATCTCTGGTTTCTTCGCTGGATCCCTGCTCTTTCCTTGAGAATCTGAGTCCTCCTCTCCCTCATCATTTCTCTGTGTCACTGCTCCTCTCATGCCTTGCCTTCTTCCTCACTAGTCTGGTTCCTTCTCTTTAAAACCTGTTCAACACCCACTCCTACAGGTCGATTCCCCAACTTCGCCCTGCTCAGCCCCTCTCCACATCTGTGGGTGCTCAACAGCGGGTCCAGGGCTTTCTGGCGGGCGCTGGTCACCTCCTAGGTCTGCATGCTGTTGGACCGGTTTCCATGGCTCCCTTTTCTGGATGGCATCTCCTGCAGGGCAGGCCTATGATTTTCTCATTAACAGTAACGAGTCCCAATGGCAGAGAATGCGGGCTCTCCCACAGTCTTCCACTGGACTGGGTGAAGGGGTGGTTACGGTATCCCCTGAAGATGAGGAAGCTTCACACCAACCATGCTTCCTTCTTCCTTTATCTTAGGATAAAGCCGGAGGCCCTTTCCTCCTTCCCCAAACAGATACAAATACGAAGCGCACAGGTACAACAACCATTGTTAATTCCCTACACTTGGTAACTCTGTATTGCTTGTGCTGTTCTTACGCCATTTTGTAAATGGATGTCTGTTTGTTAATATGTTCTCCTTTTATTTTTAAAATAAATTTAAAAAAAAACCACACAGGGATTTCGCCCACAGGAATCGTAGCCCTACCTGATGAAAGGGTCTCCCCATGAACCCCAGACTCCCCGGAACAAATCTCGCAGGTTCGAAAACTGGCTGACGGGCGTTTCCGTGCCGGGGCGCACTCACTTCCGGTCCTGCCTCCGCGCCAGACTCTCCCGGAGCCTCCGCGCCGCCCCCTGCACTTCTTTGTTCCTCAGGGTGTAGATGAGCGGGTTGAGCGCCGGCGTGAGCACGGTGTAGAACAGAGAGACGAACTTGCCCCGGCCCTGGTTGTAGCTGCGCGTGGGCTGCAGGTAGGTGTAGCTGGCGGAGCCGTAGAACAGGCAGACCGCGCTCAGGTGGGAGCCGCAGGTGCCCAGCGCTTTCCGGCGGCCGCCGCGGGACCTCAGGGCGCACAGCGCCCGGCCCACCGCGCCGTACGAGGCCAGGATGACGGCGCACG